CAGCCTGAATTATTTTAAGGTTTAGTGAAACTTTGCCCTGTATTTTTCACTTCAAGATAGTTTCTTAAAGCTCCTGTTATACATACTTGCTATTAATACCAAGAAGTGTTTTTATTTTGTTCTGAACATCTGTCTTTAATGCTTTTGCAGCTATATAGCTTGAGGTTCATTTACCAGCTGTTCGGTGCAGAAATTTGCTGGTGGTCTGTGGAAAGATGGAGGATAACAAAATAGTAGTTCTGCTCCTGATTTCCAGCTGTAAATGTGTACGAAAAAATAGCAGAGCAGCGTTTCTTTCCACTGCAAGCAGATGTCATCAGGATGTTATGTTTGATTGCCTCTTCCTGTTCTCGTTTCCTCTCCAAAATCTGTGCTAAGAAAAAATCTGATACCACCTCTTTTAGTCTTGGCAATTTTCAAAGCCAAAGCAATCTTCATAGCACTGGAAGATAGCTAATCTCTGTAAGCATTATAGGGCTAGAATGAAGTAGCTAGTTTCTCAGAGGAAAACTGAATTTGAAAGAAATCATGAGCAGCCTAACATCGCCAACAGATTTACTTGCAAGGCCAAGATTCTAGGTTCTAGGTTCCTCAGATTCACCTTTTGTTTAGAACAGTAAAATTCTACTGTGAGGAGTAGAATCTCATCTGCTGCACCTATCCTTCTACAAGGACAACAGAGTGGTGAATTTGTAACCCCTGTGAAGCTGTCATTGATTTCTGTGTGGTGAAGATTTCAGCCCACTTCCCATTTTTATAACAGAACTTTCATAGAAAATTCATTAATACTACAGAGGAGAGATTATACAGAGTTAACATTGTTGACTTGCTAGATCTTAAAAGCGGTTTAGGTGATAAAGTCAGTCAAATCTTTAATGAGATTTTAAAATCACTTACACTATTTACCTTATGCCAAAACTGATTTGAACAGAAGTTAACCAGACGCCTGATCAATGTGCAGCACTTGACCTCACTGATTTTCTTTCTCTGTTATGGCATTTTTCACATAATGCAATATACAAATAATATGATTCCAAGTACTGACTGCAGACCACTCACCACACCCAAGGAGATGAGCAACACTTCAGCCACAAATACAGTTTTGTGAGATAGGACTTTACTTCTTTCCTTTTTTCAGATTTATTTCTATGGAGTACTATGCTAAACTGTAGCTCTATATAAATAATTAATAGGAAGGTCTCTGAACACAGCCAGCTCTGTCTGCAAATCTATTTTTTTTATTATAGAGCTATTACTTGAGTCTGTTCAGCATTTCCCATGAGTAGCTGTCTTAGTGTGAGGTCTGGGAGGATATGCGGGTTTTTTGAAGCAATAAAAAAGCCATGTTTTGCACTCATATGTAATATGTTTATTGTAAACAAAAGAATTTATTTTTTTCTTTGTGAGTGGAATGCCCAACTTGTCAGATCTGTTTCTGCTATTCTTTCACAACCCCATCCTAAAGTCAGAAGACTGTCAGAAGTCTAATTGCACTTAATTCAGCACAGAGGAATGCATCCATTCCAGTAAAGGTTTAGCTGCTTTCAGCTGAATAAGATGAATGGGGTGATATTGCAGCAAATTTACCAGCTACTCACAACTGTCTAATAGCATTGTTTGAGAATTCAGAAAGCAGCTTTTGGTGTGGTGTTCCTGGAGCGATGATGCCATGGCAGTGACACAGAAACACTGAGAGAGCCTTGGCCAAATGCATACCTGTGTACACAGGCAAATAGCCAAGGTATCTTCAGTTCCTTGCCCTAGGAAAGGGAATTCACAGCCAATAGTCTGGTCACTTAGAAGGTCTAGCAACAAAAAGCTCAAAGAGGGATCAAGGGAACAGTCTAATGGGGGTGAAGTGTGAATTTCAAAACAAAAAGCATTAATGAAAAGCAGGGGAATGCAATCCTTTCCAATTCTCCAGCAGGACTTGACTGGGGAAGACCAAAGGCATTGGGTACAGGAGTAACCTGCAGATGTATGGTTGAAATAGCTACCTATTTCAACTGATTGCTGTTTTGTGTCAATGTTGTCTGCAGAAAAGATGTATGGACGTTTGGGAAATCACTGAGGGTCTTCAATATTGATCACTACTGATGCTGAAGGATTTTTTAGAAATATTAAACTGGTCCATTGACAAATCATGGAAAGAGAAGAGCCAGCCTGTGCCAAGCTGTGGGCATTCCCTGTGCCCATAGGGGCAAGGTGGACTCCTGGCACTGGTCCAGCTGCAGAGCAAGTCCCTCCTATTGGGTTGCATGCAGCCTGTAGCAATTAAAATATTCACATTCAGCAATCTGTACTGCAGCAGACTGTACCATGTCACTCATTGAGCTGCATGTGGCTAATAGTAAAACACAGAGATTTACAGTTTTCCTTCAAGAAGGGCTAATGCCATGCAAATAAATTAAAAATAAAATAAAATAAAATAAAATAAAATAAAATAAAATAAAATAAAATCAGTCTCCCCATCTTTCAAACAATGCAAATATACAGTGAAGGCTGAGTAACACTAATAACTACACTTTCTTTCAGTTGAATATTTTTTCACTTTTTTCTTGATTATTGAGAATTGCTTCTTTGCGCAAAAATACAGCAACAAAAAACTATTTGGTGTGTACTCAGTAGTTTTAAATTATTTAAGAGCTAGACTAATGGAGGCCACCTTATCGGTCTTCTTTAGTTTATGGATTTGGATTTACTGAGGTTTGATCTGATTGGGCTTTTGCTCCTTTACTGCCATCGGAAATCATTTATTCTGGTAACCTCGAATTCTTTCAAATTCTCATTGCAGACCTTTATCTCAAAATTCTGAACTTCTACCTACCCTGAATAAAATTTGTACTTCGAATTTACTGCTTAAAACCTAGCCGATGTAGTTGTTTTTTAGTGGAATTAAGGTTTGGTTTTGTCTTGTTTTTTAAGCACACATTCAGTCATACTCGAGCTTGGAACAGAGGTGGTGTTTTCAAATTTGGTCTGTCCTTCAGTTTTTAGAATGGGCGTTTGTGTGATGGTGGATATAAGCAGTGGCTTCTAAGAGGGTGCCTCCATTTGTATAAATCACAGTCTTCTAAAACTTGAGTCTCTTTGATGCTTTTTGTCTGTGACAAGATAGTTATAAAATCACACTCTCCGCATGCAAAGCTTTTCAATATCATTGTATTTCTTATTGTTAGTTGCTGTTCTCCTCTACAACCTCTACTGAAGTGAGTGAAATCTAAAATCATTCACTCCCTTCTACTGTCCTTACACATTACTACTAGCACCTATACCAGCTGTGTCTGTGGGTTCTTATACTTTTCCATTTGCAAGTTGGTCCATTGCCATTCTCTCTGAAAATCAGAAACCAGTCTAAGGCAATGGAACACTGGGGAGCATCAACTTCAGCAGAGAGCTGCTGCCAGGCAGGCACAGCATTTCTGCTAATTACAGATCCCTGAATCCCTGTGGACTGCATAATCACAGAGGTAGTCCCAGAAGCATTGGAGATAGGTGGGAGCAATAAGACAGGCAGCAGACATTGTCCTTTTCAGTCCAGCCCTGCTCATCTATTTCACTGTGTTGTTCTTGGGGGAGAAAAAGATGGATCCTGAATGGGTAGAAAAAGTCATATTTTCTTGCACTCTAAGTTAGAACATCACTTTCAGCAAAGTTGTAACTTTTCTCTGGAATATTTCTTAGACAAAGTAAGTAATACATTAAAATTGGGGAAGGTGTGTCTTTAAATATTTCTCAAGTTTCTTGACAGTATTACAAGTGAAATATGTGTATCTCACAGTCTTTGCATTTATTTCCAATGATCTTTTATTTTATGGAAAACCCATTGTGTAGTTAATCAACATGTTAGTTTTATAGATCCTCTTTTATCTTCAGTTGTTTGCAGTTTACACATCTGGCTGCAGTATGTAGAAAATGTAACTGTGCTAGAACTGGAGTCCCTACAATGAAGTAGTAGATTTACATGAATCTGCCAACACAATGATTTTCTTCACTCTTTAACAAAAGTCAGTCTCACTTGGAGACTCCCCTCAACAAGCTTTCCCTAGAAGGGCTGCGGAGACTTCTGTGCCTTTATTGGTTACTCTGAAAAATGCAGTTTGCGAAATCTTCATGGGCACAGAGTACTTTGAAAATCACTAGAATTAAATGTTCTTCATAATACTTCTGGGCTGTTTGCTACTTCTCTAGCAGAGCTTAACTTTTTTCACCCTCTTGCTTCTTCATGATGCTGTCTTGCTTTATCTAGGGAGATCACTTCGATGTTTGATTCTGTTTGTTGGCTGGAATTGGAAGTTTCTGTAAAATGGAAGGGGAATTGAAAAGGCAATGTTTTTGCTTTTTGTCACACTAATTTCCTTGACCAGAGTTCATGAAGGCCATGCTATCTCTGCCATGTCCTACAGGTTTCAAACCTAGAGCAAAATAAAGCCTATTTTGTTTTTGAAAATGACTTCAAAACCCCTCCAGGCCTGAAAATCCTCCTGCTTAAAATTGCTTTATTATCCTTCCCAGTACTTACAGGCAGCATAGGAGATTGTCCAATGACAAAATCTGGAAGATTCAAAGCAAAATGGCATTGCCAATAGCAAGTTTGCTAATCCTTTTCCTTTCACACTCTGATAATGTTATTATTCTATTCAGTTCTCTCAAATGGTAATATCAAAGGCCAATACATTCTCCAATAAACTCAAGCCAGATCATCAAATGTAGCTGACAAGTTTGAAATGAACCGTTTTAGATGTTCCAGTAGGTTACTTCATCATAAAAGCAAGTAATTTTAGGTAAAATGGAGAACAAATCTCTACAAACTAATAGCCAGAGGAAATGTGTCAGGTTATAGATGTGCAGTTAGAAAGTATTATCACGCTCTTTCAAAAAGAAAAAAAATATTGTACCTAGAGCTAGAGTACCTAGAACTGAAGTACTGCAGGTTTTTTTTATTTTTATTTTTTATTATTATTTTTTGTTTGTTTGTTTGTTTTCCAGATTTGACTTGATTGGAGATACAGGGGGACAAAAAAACGCACAACAGCAAGAAAACCTCATTTTATTGAGGTATTAAAGCAATGCACATATTGTCCCAGAGCATGAAGGATTATTTTAGCACTTCTAGTGACTACTGAGGAAGGAAACTTCTGATAGCTGAGTCCTTCAGTCTGGCAGCAAAACCAAAGACAAATCCATTGGCAGCAGGTAGGTATAGGCTTCTAATGGTTGTGACAGATGAAGGTGGATACCTAAACTGATGGATGAGATCTTGTTCCCTATGTTATTTAGGACGTCAGGACAGTCCCCTTTGGCCTTCCCAGTTCACCCTTTCATAGGTGCCCATCAAACAGGCACATTCTCAGCCACTGAGCTAGCCACCAGCCTGGCTTGCACGGCTCTGGAGGTGACCCTAAGCAAACGGAGCTGCTGTTGGTGGGAGGTCTGGCATGAAATTTTAGCCAGCAGAGAGTAAAAGAGGATTTGGATGACTTTCCTAGTGTTTGATGGAGCTCATCCCTTTCTAGGTACTGCTAAATCATTCTTGACAGGGATGTTTTATCCCCAGGGCTCCTAAAACTGCTTCTGACAAGCAACCTTTTTTGCTGTTGGAATGTGTTGAATTTCCCCAAGCATTGTGCATCTTTGAAATATTTCCTGTTAGAGAGGTATGCTTGTTCTCTGTTTGAGCTCTTCAATCCCTGCTTTTCTAAATTACACAGGAAGAATAGTGTGCTATGCCATTAGTACGCAACATGAATTATTTGTAAGGAGAAGTAAACATTTCCAGAAAGCATGTTTTAATCAGAGGTTGTTTACTGATATCTTTTACTACTCGTTGGATGATGTCTGTATTTGAATGGTAAAATAATTTTGAAATTTCTTACTGTTTTCACCAACTGTTCATTTGTATCAGAACTTATTCTCATAGTATATAAATCTTCTATAGTTCATAATTTTGGCTGGAAGATTGAAACCACACCTTAGAAGAAGAGTATGTCTTCCAAGCACAAAGTGTGATGACAGTGATAATATACTGAAAATCTGTGTTGCTGAAGTTTCTGAATCCTTTCATAAACCTTACAGTATACATACATATACTTCTGTTTTCACATCAGTGAGGACATCAGCTGTTAATCTTCATGGTGAATAACTTACTCTCAGGAACAGTCAAGAAGGCTCACCAGAATATTAAATACCATCATAAAATTACTTTAGAAAATGAAAGATGCACAGAAAAGACAGGGAGATTGTTTCTTTCTTTCTTTCTTTGTGATTTTTGTTTTCTTTAAAAATATTCTTATTTTAAAGCTCTCATGCACATAGCTGGTAGGCTGAAAGTAGCATTACTGAGCCAGATAACTTTTAAATCTTACCACTTTAAATCTTAGTCATTACAGGTAGCGTTTTTCTCTCTAAATATTCCCATTGAAAACAGTGTAGGCACTTGCAGTGTAAAATATGATTTCATGTAACTTAGGTTCATTAAACTGTGAAAAATATATTCAGCAAAGTATATGCCTTTTAATTACAGGCGTTACACTAAATTTCCAGTCATTTCTGGAGAGGTGCTATTAGTCTCACAGCTGTGGGGGAGTGCCATAATTATATTTTATATGGGAGTAGATGCTTAGAAATCATAAATACTGGATTGTTCTGATAGGTTTCATTTGGCTAATGCTCTGCTACCCAAATGGGATTGTTTGACAAGATATACGTGCAAATTCTGAAAAGAATTTGCAACTATAAGATGAGAACAAAAATAGGTGTTATTTTCCATTGTGGAAAATCTTCCTTTTGCTTAAGCTCTTCCTTAGACTCTACATTCCCCCTCCTTTGCAGCTCCTCTCCTCTTTCAGCGTGTTTCATGCTCAGGCCTTTTTGGTTTGAGGTTTTAGGATCAGCAAACAGCCACAGAATGAGTGAAAAGAGAGTATTTCTGTGTAAGGGGATTCAACTGTTTTATAATCAGTTTGCTGGTAGAAAAGATTAGAAAACTGATTTCAGTTGTTCTATGCCAAACCTTTTCCAGCCTTCTTGTGTAGTGTAGATGTACACATGCACATTTGTGTCTGTATGTATTGCAGTGAATTGTAGTCTTTTCACATTCACAAGCTTGACACGGGTGTAACACAGAATATTGTCCAGTACAACAGTTGAAAAAGCAAGTTATGAAAAAAGCAGTTATGGAGGTACATGATTTAGCCAAGAATTTTCCCACAACACATTTAGCCAGTTAAATGGTTTCAAGTGACTTTACTCCAATCTGGTGAGTAGTAAAAGGATAGTTGATCAGCACCATCAACTTGTACCATCATGTGAACATGTTGAGTTTTTGCTTATGCTTGAGTTTGAGTTTGGAGAATGCCCTGTGGAGTATACAGGGGCTGGCTGGGTGCACTCATGCCCTAACAATGCGAACCATAACAGTAATGGCAAAACAGTAACAAACTCTCTTTACTAAAGACACTTTCTTTTTTCCTTGGGGCTTATCGCACTTTAATATCAACAATCAATACACAAAAGACAAGAAAGGAATTTTCCCTTACCCTCAAGAAATCTTGGGCAGAGAGAAAAAAAGTAGCTTGAATGTAAAGTAATGTTACATCCTTGTCTCAGCCAAGGTCTTTGAAAATTTCTAAGCTTCCCTCCAGCATCTTATTACATTTGTGAAGTCAATGTGTGTATCAGCTCAAAATGATTCCTTATATTAGGTAAACAAATCACACCATGTCATTAGTCCAAGGCTTTGCCTCTTGTTGCTCAGCTTTGGAACGGACCTGCTGCCTGAAGGCAGAGGGTAAAGCCTTTCCAGTCTATAACAGACCGGCCCTCTAGCACCCACTTCACAATGTTTACACCAGTGATGGGTAAGAGTGCATTTCCTGATAATGTGTCCAGCACATTCCCAGTTAGAAGAGAAATAGCAGTGAAAGCATATGGGAAGCCTTATTCCCTTTCCTAATAACAAATACAATGGAATTACACTTTATAATAACACAGAAATATTTGTTTATGATGCACATAAATCTTGAGCTATGCTGTAAGGAAGACACATGCAGAGCTTCTATATTAAAGAATTCACATTCTGCAACTGAATCTTTTTTTTTTTTTTAATTTGCTTTTATTGTTAACCATGTACAATATAGTTTCAGCAGTTTACGTGTCTGGACCTTCATTAATCATATTCTAAATTAATTATGTTATAGACTATCTAACCTGTATCAATTACAAATAAGTATAAATTAATGTTTATTTATTCCTGTATAGTTCATTAACTTCCAAACATCTGTGATAATTTGATGACAAATCTACTGTAAAGATTTTACAAAGGAGGTTTTCCATCCCTGTAGCCCTTAGGGACACAGTATTACAGGAAAATGGTGAGAACACAACCCTCCTCCAGGGTCTGCTTTGACTTTCTTCCCTTGAGCCATTCTCCCACATTCTGTACTTTACTAGGCTGCTTTCCCCTTGGGATCCCATAGCCTCCTTCTCATCTGTGATTCCTGCCTTATTATTCTCCTTGTGCACTTGCAGCATTAAGCAAGGCAGATGTCATAGGTCTGGCTTGACTTCCAGACTGGAGTTTTTTGTGCCTGCTTATAGCAGGAGGAGAGGGACTCAAGAACTCTGAGGTGGCCAGACAGGACCATCTGAGGATCACAACTGGAGCTGCTTCTGCAGAGAATATTTTTGAGGCCAGCCTCTTGATATTTAAATCAATATCAAAACTTCTACCACCTAAAATAATCCTGAGCTTGGCTTTATGTCTGTGCTATTAATGAGCAGACTAATGTTCAGGCCTATAGACTTGTGAGGAGCTTAAAAACCCAGGGAATGGAAAATTATACTGAGACAAACCCTGTTGAAACAATTGGACCTCAACCAAAAAAGCACTTGTGCTTTCAAGAATCGCTAACAGTTTTAAGAGCCAATATTTCATGAGTTTCAGGGAAGGGAAGCAAATACTGTATGCTGTCAACAATGTGAATTCAAATATTCTTTATATAGTCTTTACTCAAAGCTCTGATGTTTTGAGGTCGAAAACATAAGTCCTTGAAGCCTATGACTTTGATTCAATCTGATTCAGTCAATGCAATTCAACTATAATATCAAGCGAACTTTTAAAGATTGCTTAAATGTTGACATTTTTGATTTAATATGCGATGTAAAAGTTAAAGTAATGATTCTGGCTTTTACGTGAAATGAAGAGGCAGTACAAAACTGAAATACCCATTTTTTCTGGGGTATTCTCATATTAAAAATGTCTCTCAACACACTGTGAATTATTTTCATTTTTAATTTCTGGAAGAACAGCAATTCCAAAGCTGCATTTAATTATGATTTTTTGAAATTATTTTTTTTTAATATTCTTCAAATCATTCACTTTCTCTTCAGTCTGCCAGAGCAGATGAGTTAACAGAATGCCATTTTGTTTAAATCTCATTCCTGTGGAACATTCTGCATTTAATAAATCAATATTCTGCCATGGGAAACTGTTTCATTGGAGAAGTCCAAATTGATCAAATAAGAAGAATAAAAACTTCATTTTCCCCTGCCTTGCCTCTTTGCAGTTACAGAAGGTGTTTTCATCCCTTTTGTACAAGGATAAATAAAAGGGTAAACAGGTTGGAAAGAAGGAAAGCTATAATCCTAATCTTCAAATCTAAAAGGAGCCAGAAGTGGGATAATGCCTTTTTCATTCAACATTGCTGGCCACAGAAATGGACAAACTATTCCGACCTCAGGTGGGAAGGACACCACGCTGCCTGGGCAGTCTTTCTTTGCCAACCTTAACCAGAATTACTTGCTGTACCCCATACTATTCAATAATTAGTGCTGGAGTATCAAATCAGAAAACCTTAATCCATGCGCTATTTTGCAATAAATCAAATCCTTAAAAAAAAACACTTTAGGAATTTCTGGAGTGTTTTTACTCATATTGGTTTTGTAGAAATTTTGAATTACTTTTTTCAGATTTTTGTTTATTTTGAAAATAAAATGCAATTATGGTTAAAAAAAAGTTTTTTTTTTTTTTCATCCTGTCATTACTTGAGATAAATTCTTAACTTTTATGAAATATTTTGTATAAAATATTGCAACTTTCTAAGTTATCATTTTTGTATTTAATTTCTCTATTACAGGCACAGAATTTTCGTCTACAAGTAATGACACATTATAATATCATGACATGAGATTATTTA